AACCACAGGGTCCCATGCTGGGTGCCTCAGCCAGAGTGGGGACCGAGGCTCCAAAGGACAGGTGGTGAGTGGTGACAGCGGCTTTGGGCCCTGCACGGGGCACTTCAGCCAGGAATGGAGCTGGTATCTCTGACAGGCCTAGAGCCTCCCTGGGTGACGGCGGCTTGAAATAGGGCTCGGTGGGGGCCCAGAACCCAGGGCGGGGAGCTGGAACTCTGAGGAGTGAGCACCAGGCTGCTGGATTGGGCGCTCAGTCAGGGAGAGAGCTGGCATCGGCCGAGTGTGGGACAGATCAGTGTAACCAGCAAGCTGTATACTTCATTTAACTATATGTTTAAAATTTGTATCATGTTACTTTTATCAATAAAAATAATATTGTAGTAAAAAAGAATGCTGCACTTTATACTTTTGCTCATATTTTATTTTACACCAGGGTCTGTATTGACACGATAAATTCCTAAAGTTTGAGATGTCAAATCAAACACTTTTGGATGTAAATATTGATAGAAAATATCTAATTGCCTTTCACAGAAGTTATATCAATTTACTTCCCTACCAACCATGCACAATAGTGCTTAATTCCCTTTACCAACACTGTTTGGCATCATCAAACCATAGGTCTTTGCCTACCTGATAAATGGTATTTAGTTTTGTTTTGTCTTTTTTTTCTGTTATATGGCCCTAATAGGTTTATTTGTGAAAATGTGTACAGAAGTCGCTCTTTCTAGTGGTCAGGCTCAAATGGTAGGAAACTGCTTTATTAAAAAAAAATCAAGGACTAGACAAATGTGATTTATTGTTATTATATCCCAAACTGTGTCTCATGTCTATCTAAATGAATGGTTGACCATCCTGATATGTCTTTTTTTATTTCCCAAAATGAAACAGTATTAACTTTTCTAACCCAAATTGCCCTTGCAGTGCTTCGAGGAGATGCTTGGCAAGCATGGGTGATGGAAGGACTGAAAAGATGTGCAGAGAGTGAACAAACCATGTTTTAGGAAGATTAAAGCTCCTGAGACAGAGGAGTCTCAGACAAGAGACTGTAACAAGCTCCCCAGCTCCAGCTTTTTTTTTTTTTGAGTTGGAGTCTCACTCTGTCGCCCAGGCTAGAGTGCAGTGGCATGCTCACATCCACCCTGGTGTTAACCTCCTGGGCTCCGGTGATCCTTCCGTCTCAGCCTTCCAAGTAGCCAGAACTTCAGGCTACCACACCCAGCTAATTTTTGATTTATTATAGAGACGAGGTCTTGCCAAGTTGCCCTGGCTGGTCCCAAAACCGTGGACTCGGGCAATCCACTCGCCTCGGCCTCCCAAAGTGATGGGATTACAAACTGAGCCACCAAGCCTGGCTGGCTCCAGCTCTTAACACCCACTGCCTGGTGAAAACAGCTACCCTCACCTCTTCTCTTCACTCTCACCTCCTATGTTCTTGCTCATCTCATGTGGTATTTCTTCAGAGCTCAAGGGCGGTGCAGTCTAAGAAAAGCTGCCAAGAATTCCTCAGTCTTGAAGTCCTTTATATGAAGCCCAAGAAGAGATCAAGGTCTGCAGCAATGAAGGGCCAAGAGTCTTCTCCATGGAGTGCTGGGTATTTCAGCGCAGGAGTGGGAGGCCTGCTACTAAGGGGAGGTTTGGCTTGAGCTGCACTGTCTGCTGCCTACCCAAATTCTGACCTCCTCTAGGCCCTAATTCAAACAAGAATAAACAGAGACCCAGTTGACAGTGGAGATGGCTAAAAAATTGCCAAGAATTGTATGTGGTGAGTTGCAATTGTTTTTATTTTCTTTTATCTACTGTTTTCTGCAAGTTTCACTTTTGCCTAAATACAAATTTTTTAAAAAATGTATTTCCACTCTGAATTTAAAACTAGTATTTTTCTAACACACTTTAATAAATAAGGAACCAGAGGACAAGTTGAGGCTTTCACCCAACTTACTGACTTTGCAAGCCCAATTCTCTTAATACCACGCAAAAATGAATTAAAAACTAATTTGTCATTCTGACAAATAAAGATGCCTCTGGGAAATCTGACTCTGAATAATGTCTCAGCTATCTTCTACATAGTGGTTCTCAAATGTAACCCTGCCTGCTCACCCCTGGGACATGTGGCAACACCTGGACATGTTTTGAGTTTGTCACAATTGGGTAGGTGGTGTGTTACAGGCATCTAGTGGGTAGAGGCTAGGGATGTTGCAAATCATCCTATAATTCACAGGAGAACTTCCACAACAGGGAATGATCTGGCCCTAAACATGAAGTGCTCTTATTATAGTGCCAAGATTGCCCCACACAGATCCTCTGAGGCTGATGCTCCAGGTAGGCTTCCTCCCCCATGAACACTTACACTGATGCACAAGTCACCGTGATCAACCTCATCACACTACAAGGTCATTTTATTTATTGTCTGTCTCCTCTTTACAACTGTGAGCTTCTAGAGAGTGGGGCTCTGATTGCTCTGTTTTATAATTGCATGTTTCATGCCTTATTCATATTTTTCTCAGTGCTTGAACATTGCCTGGCATATGTTCTTTGCTCTATAAATGGCTGTCAGAGGCATGAATTGCGGTTTGAAACTCAGGAAATGACTGAAGTTAGCAATGTCTAGTTAGATGCAGAATTTATTACATATATATGATTATTAATATGTTATATTTTATATAATTATAAATACATTTTATGTATATATATACACACACACACACGAATTGATGCTCAGATTATCTGCGTGACATATCCAAGATCTCATGACTGGACAGATGACTGGTTGAGACTTTCACCCAACTTCACTGACTTTGCAAGTCCAGTTCTGTTATTACCATACAAAGACTTCCCCTAAATATACTACTAACAAGCCATGAAAGAAGTCTCAGCCGGGCTCAGTGGCTCAGCCTGTAATCCCACGCCTTTGGAAGGCTGAGGTGAGTGGATTGCCTGAGCCCGGGGGTTTGAGACCCACCTGGGCAGCGAGACCTCATCTCTACAATAAATCAAAAAATCAGCTGGGTAGTGGTAGCGCACACCTGTAATTCTGGCTACTCGGAAGGCTGAGGCGGAAGGATCACCAGAGCCCAGCAGGTCGAGGCTGCGGTGGCCGGGAGCAGTCACTGCACTCCAGTCTGGGCGACAGAGTGAGACTCCAACTCAAAAAAAAAAAAAAAAGTCTCTGCATTCAGATGGCCAACCAGGCACAAAATCTTTCCTCCTTGCCTCCTAAGATGTTGTCAAAACGTTATTGGGGAAATGAAATCCAAATTGCAAAGAAAATGGATGAGTCCAGTGATGAAAATCTCCACACATATTAGAAATATAGAGCGCAAATGAAGCTTACTGGTCTATGAAGTCCCATAATAACCACTTGAGAGGGATGTAGTAGCAGAGATAAGCAATCAGCCTGCTAAAATAGCTGCCCACAAAGAAACCTCCTCCTCCCTCCTCTGCCTTCCTCTTTTCTCTTCCTCCCACTACTCCCTTCCCTCTTTGGAGGACTCCGCCCTTCTCCGAGGCTACCAACCAAATCCACCTGAGGCTGTGACCCAGGGTCGAGTTGGCACAGAATGGCCTTGCCCAAGTTCCCTGGTCTCAGATCTGGGCAGAAGCGCTGGCCTTGCCTCCATCCTGTTGAGTCTCCACGCTCAGCCTGAATGAAATTAAGTCCTGGCAAGTGTGGTCTCCGCTGTGGATTCACCCCCAGCACCTCCACCTCCTGATGCCTGGACGCCCTGCAGTAGCTGGGTGCCACATGCCACGTGCTCTGTGGCCCCCAAAGATGACTATCCCACAGGATGTGCCAAAGCTTTCCAAGTGCCATTCCAGTTAGAACCTTTATTCTAAAGTTCATTTATTATCCACATATGAGAAATAACTGACACACTTAGAACACAGTTCTGTTTATATACAGGATATAAAAGGAAATGAATTGACCCTTTCTGTGAAAGTCACAGTGCCGAATTACAAATCAAATTACATCTTAGACGACCCACTGGAGAGGAGGAAAAGCCTTGTCAAATGTGCGTTACCAGAAGGTTGCAAACCTTCAGTAAACATCAAGACCACCTGCGAGTGTTCAGAAATTGTCCAATACGATATTTCTGTATACTTGAAAAAAAATAACCAAATTAAGATTTTCTACTATATTTTCAAGGGCATTACCTAAGCAGAAAGTTTGCTGAGTGGTATCAAAAATGATGCAAGAAACCATACAATGAGCAGGATATAGTCTGTTGAAATATGTATTTCTGCAAAGCACCATCACAAACACACATGCTATGTGGTGTACAATTAAAGGGGAAGGTGTCCATGTGGAGATTTTGCCTACAAAAAATATATTCCCTAGTTGGTGGGCATGGCTGTTCATGCCTGTAATCCCAGCACTTTGAGAGACCAAAGCAGAAGGATTGGTTGAGCCCAGGAGTTTGATACTAATCTGTGAAACATAGCAAGAACTTGTCTCTTAAAAAAAAAAGTAGCTGGACATGGTGGCATGCGCTTGTAGTCCCAGCTAATCCAGAGGCTGAGGTGAAATGATCGCCTGAGCTCAGGAGGTGGAGGCTGAAATGAGCAGTGATCATGCCACGGCACTCCAGCCTGGGAGACAAAGTGAGACGCTGACTCTGTATGTATTCCATTGTCCCAGTCTACAACATTTTATTGCAAATATAGACCTGAACAACTTGCCTCTCACCAATTACTGTACTATATTTTACTCTAATAAATTATATACTTATAAGATTACATTTAAATAGCAAACGAACTGGAGAGCTGTAGGAGACACCTATTTATCCTAATATACAGTTTTATATTTGTTTGTACAATTTTTTTTCCTAATACATGCAGGAGAGAAGTGCTTGATGGAAACAACCACCCTGAGTAAAACAGCATTTCCTGCCACAATAATTAACAACAAACAACTCCAGTCATCATACTTCATCTTAGAATATATTGTATTGTGTTCATTTTTAGCAGAAAATGTTTCAAAACTGAAAATGCAACAGACATTTTAATGACTTAAAATTTATTATCAAAATAATTTTTTTCACGAAGAAGAAACGTTGCTATGTAGTAATTGCTGAGTAACCCAGCTCCTACTACTCTTAGAACATCTTACATTGCTTCAGAATTCAACCACCCATTGTGGAAAACGGATTCATTCGCTGCTGACACTGACTTGTGAATTTTGTAGGTGCTGTGGATTCGCTGCGTCCAGCAGGAGTCTGCAGCATTTGCTGAAAAAACTGCTTCTGTGGTGCCTGGTCAGGGATTTCTGCAGTCAGCAATTGCGTAGCTAGATATGTCACTCCGTAGACCCTTCGGTGCTCCTCAACGCATCTCAACCCTCCAAGGCCAGAGGTAAATACTGAGATGAACTTGGGGCTCCTGTGCTAGTGAACACCACTGAAGTGAGCCAGGGTTGAGAGAGTATCGGAATTCTGCAACTGTGCCCCAAACTGGAGATTCGCTATTCTCAGAGCAAACCACGGATGGCTCTTGTGGAGCAGAGGGCCTAAACGTGCGAATCTGTGGGTTTTCTGTGACCTTGCAAGATTCTGTTTAGTTCTCCTCCTCCATGTTCTTTGTGCGGTAAAACTCTAGTGGGGTTGCTGGTGCTGTGGGAACTCCCGGCCAGTCGCTGGTCAGCTGCCAAGCTCTCGGAATTCTCTGCGGGCCATAGATTGGGTGGTGAGGCTCTAGGCCCTATGTGGGAGATTGACCAACTGAGGAGACATCGCTCAACAAGGAAGCAGAGCGGGGCGCTTCGGGTTACTAAGGAACCCGGGTATGTGTTCGCGATTTATTGGCAAACTGCAGTATCCCAAGAGGAGAAAGACACGTCAAGTTGAAGAACGGGCCTAAACGAAGAAAAGAGAACGATGGACTCCAGTGCTAGAAAATAGTACGTGAGAGAGCAAATACGGTCGAAAAAGCGGAGGAAATGTGCTTTTCCTGTTCCTCCGCTGGCGTGTTGGCTACAGATCCGGGTTTCACTCGCCCGGAGTCCCTCCCTTCCGTGGCGCAGCGCTGTAGCGCTCCACTGTGGCTGAATGGCGGCTCTGGCTCTATCCTCAGGCTGCGCGTCCCTGTCTTCACGCAGCGTCCTCGTCTGTCGTCGCTCGCTTGCGCAACAGTGCCCAAGCTGGGGGACCGTCCTCTCCTTCCCCTCTGGACCTGCAGCTGACCAGCAGGCACGGGCTTAATACTCGGCTCTGCGCCCCACCCCCAGCTCAGGTAGAGCCTTGCCTCCCACTGGGTCTACGTGGCTGCACCATCTCAATGGTCTGCTCTTGTCTGGGGTGCGAATCTCAGCGTGTGGACACTGCCCTAGTTCAGGTCATTATGACCTGTTTCTGGGATTTCTGCCAACATTTCCGAACACATTTCTTTGCCTCTAGTCTTTCTCTCTTCCAAAGACGCTACCTGCAGCCAGAGCCATCTTTGTAAAGAGAAATATCCTTTGGTCTCTCTCCTGCTTAACTCTTTCATGGCTCACATAACCATCTCAATTGATGCAGAAAAGCATTTAACGGAATTCAACAGCTTTCCGTGATAAAAATACTCAACAACTTAGAAGGAAACCACCTCAACATAATAAAGGCCATATATGAGAAGCCCACAGCTAACATCATACTCAATGGTGAGACTGAAAAGGGCTGTTACTCTAAGGCTAGGAACAACGCAGGGATTCCCACTCTCATCACATCTATTTAACATAGTATTGGAATTTCTAGCCCGAGCACCAGGCAAGAAAAATAAATTAAAAGCATCCAAAATGGAAAGGAAGATGTAAAATTATCTTTGTTAGAAGACGACATGATCATGTATGCCAATAATCCTAAAAATTAGACACACACACATGCACACAACTATTAGAGTTAATAAACAAATTCAGCAAATTTGCACTTTCATTTCTATACTATGCTTTGCAATGTGGTGTGGAAAGAGGAAGTCCTAATGAGGAAGGTTGACCCAGTGGTAGGGTGCTGACTGACATAGAGAGAGAAAGAAGAAGTAAAAGGATCTGAGAAGACATATCAACTTGTGAGCCCAATAGAAATCCTAGTGTATATTAGATTAAGGAAACACACTTTCTCATCGTAATAGAGCATTCCTTCACTCAGCCTAAGGACTATGATGTTTTTAGTCATTTTGTTTTGAGAAAGTTATTAAGTATATATTTTTTCCTTATAATTTAGTGACTCCTGTAAGAGAAAGCCAGAATGAAAATTTCTACTGCATTTTCAAGGAAAGCATTCCACTAGCATTTTGGACTTTGGCTGAGTCATATTTGCAAAAAAAAAAAAAAAAAAAAGACAACCTAGAAAGCTAGTAGGTTCTTAGCTTTGGTTTTATTTCCTTATTATCTTTGTTGTTTAGTTACATTAATTCTGCTCAGATATTGTAATACTGTATATGTTTCTAGAAAACACATCCTCAAATGTGCAGTCTCAAATACAAAAGAAGCAAAAACTATCAATATATGATATAATCTTTAAGGCATTTTAATTGCAGAAAATACATGCCAAAGTCACAATAAACAACATTGCACTGCAGTCGATAGAATGTAAATAATTTACTTCTCTACAAACATTTTACTCACAAATTATTACCTGTAGTAAGGGGGTTAATAGCCCCTAATCACATATGAATCCCTAGAAAATATGAATGTTGCCTTACTTGGCAAAAGGAACATTCATTTGTGATTCAGGATCTTGAGATAAATTATCCTTGATTTTCTGGGTAGGTTCATTATAATCACAATCATCCTTATCAGAGGATGCAGGAGGAGGCAGAGTCAGAGAAGGGAATATGATAAAGGAGAGATTGAAGTGATTCACTTTGAAGTGGAGGATGGGTTATGAGAGAGCAGCCTCTAGAGACAGGAAAGGGTAAGCAAGGGTTCTCGCCTAGAGCCTCCAGAAAAAAAACAGCCTAGTTGACACCCACTGAAACTAATTTTAGACCTAGTCTCAAGACCTATAAGTAAATAAATATGTCTTGTTTGAAGACACCAAACAAGCAAATTGTGATAATTTGTTATAGAAGCTCCAGGAAACTCATAGACTTTGGTAGGCTGAAAGATGACTCCCCTGCAAAAAAAAGATATCCATGTCAAATTCTTGAAACATTTAGCTGTTATTTTATATGGCAAAAAAAGAATATTACATATGGCAAATATGATTAAGTTAAAAGTGTTGAGAGGAGGTGCTAGCCTGCATTATCTGGATGGACCCTAAATGCAGTCATGTATATCCTTATAAAAGAGAGGCAGAGGGCAAAGTTGCAAAGAGTAGAAGGTGATGTAAAGAATGGGGCAGAGATTGGAATGATGCAGCCACAAGCCAAGGAATGCCTGCAGCCATCAGAAACTGGCAGATGCCAGAAATGGGTTTTTCCCTAGAGGCTTTGGAGGGAGTACAACCCTACCATTTTGATTTTGGAGTTCTGGTCTCCAGGATTGCAAAATAATAGATTTCTGTTCTTTTAAATCACCAAGTTTGTGAACATTTGTTACAGTAATCGTAGAAAACTAATGTAACTGTAACAATCTATAGTTTAAAAAGCAATTGATTGGATGGTTGCAAGGTAAAATCAAGTCTCTCAAATTTAGATGTTGATATCTGTTAAAAGAATCTCATTATTTCCATCTAAAAGTATAAATTGCATTCTATCTTCATCACCATATAAGATAGCAACAGTACAGTACAAAACTCAAAATGTAAAAATGCATTATTTTAAGTATTTATGAAATTTATAAAAATTAACTTTGTTTTTAAAGAAAAGAAGCATTCCTATGGGTCAAGGCATTCAATAACTTCCAAAGACCGTATTGACTCACCTACATTGTTACTAGACACTGTGTTTGCTTTATGAGTCAAAAACTTTATTTTAGTGAACAGATCTATTTGATCCTGAAAACTAACTTCTAGAGTTTGTAGGTGTTGAGGACTGTCTCCTTCAAAAGCCTGCAGTATATATTTTAAAAAATCAGGTCCTGTGATGCCTGAACTGGAACTTCTTTTTCCTCCAGTGGGACAGATGACCATGTTGTTCTCTGCAGATCTCCAGCATGTCCCTATCACTAATTCCTACAGGCCAAAAGCAAACCCTGAGATAAGTCAGGGTCTTCGTGCTTGATGTTTGTAAACCATTCTGCATCTGTAACCAAGCCTCAATTTCTTTCTAGGCTTTGACATGATTAAAAGTACATCAGGAATATAGATTAGTGGTTAATTTAAACTTCTCATGAAGGGGCAGACTATGTGCTGTGCCCAGTGGTGGGTTTCCAGGTTCCTACTGCTAAAACTCTGCATTCCTTCCACTGCAGGCCCTTACATGGTGCAACAGAAGCTGTCCTGTAAGAACTTGTTCGCTTCACCTCAGGGCTGGAGGTGCCCAATGGTTATTGTGGAGGCCAGGAATTAGGTAATATTATCTAGCTTTTACCTGGGGAAACTGAACATCTTCAACTGAGGAGACATTGCTTCTTACTAAGGAAACAGATGGATTGCCAGCAAACATCCCCCTAATTGTACTCCATATTGATCACTGAATGTCAGTCTACATGTACAACAGGGTGAAGTGTGTCCCTGGGATGCTTTGAAGATTGTTCAAGACTCTGCTTCGATGTGTCATTATTTTATGTATCATTGCTGGACTCAAGGCAGGTGTTAGCAGTTGTTATATTATATCCAGATTATAAAGCTGAATCTAAACTCTACATTTCTATGTATTGGTGTTTGGGAACTGGCCATGATTAAGAGCCTTAAAAAGTCAGGATTTTGAAATGTGCTTTGAAATCGATTTCTCAGCCTCTGGACCATTATCTCAATGTTAACTATGATTTGCCACCACATCTGGCTTTGTATACTGGAAGTACACAAAATCTCTCCAAAGGCACATAATCCACAAAGATTCCTCTTGTTAGGACCAGGTTTGAAGCTGCTACAAAGAGGTGATGGGATATGAAACACCATGACTTCCTAGGGTCTACGTTTGCTGTGGTAACTGATCCTGACGCCTGTTTTCTATTTTGGTAAGGAGACTTTACGTGACTCTCTTGTGGATCATGCTCATTCAAGATTTGGAAAATCAGCAGCACAATTTTATCAACATGGTATCTTTCTGTTGCTCTGTTGGATTTGGCAGTCCAGGCACCATGAACTCCCTTTTCTCCTTTATAGCCTTCACAACATTTTTTGATGTTGGGCTCTACAGAGTGGCATCTACAGGGCATATGTGTCAGTAACGCAGGGAAACCAGGAGATGGCAGGCAAGTGAGGAGAACCCAGAAGTATACAGTGGTTGTTCAATGCAGGGAAAACCTGGTGAGGGCATGCCCTTCAGTGTTGAAGGTGCACAATGGCAGCTCTGGTGGGAGCCATGGGGATTGGTATGTTCTCCAGTACAGACTGCTTCCAGGCTCTCTGTGGCCATAGCCACAATTCCAATTAATGGGTAAGTCTCCCTGACTAAATCAAAGTCTGTTTGAGTTATGTACTGTCACAGGCAATCACTGTGTCTAGAGGAAATTAAATAAATGTTTTGGAATCTATCATTAACAAATTATCAGCAATTTTGAATAGTCAATTACGAAACCTACAAAAAGTCCCCAGACTATTTCTTCCTCACTTGCCAGTAAATATCCTTCTCTCTTCTCATTATCCTGTTATTCTCAGGGTGTTTCTGGGACCTTCTGTTGAAATTCTCAGCTCTAGGCTTTCAACTGTTTCTCCACAGAGGATGCAATCCTGGCCCACACTCTGGAGACACACACACACACACACACACACACACACAGACACACTCTGGAGACACACACACACACACACACACACACACACACACACACTCTGGAGACACACACACACACACACACACACATTCCTGAGATCTTTCTCTCAGGTTTCTACCATCACTTCACATCACACATGCCAAGGGTTGTTCCTCCAAGATTTTGAAGTGACTCACCCTCTCCTGCTTCCTAAAGGACAGGGATGGAACAAATGGGCTTAGCCTCTCCAGACACCTTTCACATCAGTCTTTTCCAGCTGGTGCATTGAAGGACTCCACAGGCTAGTGAGAAATTATGGAAGCACCAAGAGACGTTGCCCAGGAGTTGGGCAGGGGTGGGTGGTTCACCAGGAGGACCAAAGGGTCAGATCGTAGATGGAGACATGAGAAAGGAGTGGGGATGCTGGTGGGCAAAATCAGTTACAAAGTAGACCAAATGCCTTCAAATGGGCAGAAGTTCTGAGCCAGGGATTATTTCTTGTGCATCTTCAAGCTACTCTAGATTTACCTTCACCCACCAGCTCCTGTAACCTTTGGCTGCTTCCCCATACTGTTGAATGGCGGTCTACAAGTCCACGTGCTGCCCCTACTCTACCCTGGGCTCCACACTGTGCTGCCCACATCATCCTAGTGCCAGAGACAAGGAAAATTCCAGCCCAGGGTCTCCCTTGCCCACTTCTGTTCTGTCCTTCACTTGGATTTCCGCTCCACAACTGGGGCCTGAGGATTCCCTCACACTACCCTCTAGCCTTTGTGGCTACAACATCTGTAGCACCTTCCTTCTCCTGGATCCCAGCATGGTGTCCATAGCCCTAGATCATGTCACCATTTTCTGTAGCTCAGAATTCTCCAAAACTCTCTAACCCATGTTATGCCTCCAGTCTTGCTCTGACCCAAGCTTTCAGTGCATTATAATTACAGTCATCCTTCTGAAGCCAAAAATCCAATTTTGTTTCTTTCCTGCTTAAGATTTCAGTGACTCACTATTAACCTCTGGATAAAAAATGAAATTCTTGACCCTTTTCCCCAAACCTGTATGATCAGGACCTGCACGTTTTCCTAGCTTCTCCTCTCTCTTCTCTTATGCCGGCCAGTGATTTGCCTACCGTTTCACTAATATGCTGAACAATATTTCATTTATTGGTCTGGACTTAGCATGTACTCTGCTTGGGTCTAATTCCTGCTTATTTTATTTTAGTTTTTAGATTCTACTTTGCTATTCTTGTGAATTTTAGCCTGCCTTCCCAAAACTGGCCTAGCTCCTCCTCCTACCTGTTCTCCCACTTCTTTTTCATCTTACTCAAGTGCTCATTACAGTTGCTTCTATTTGGCTGGTTCATATTTCTTCTCCCCCACAATGTAGCTCCAGAACATAAATGCTGCTCACTGTTCTATCCCCAGGAAGGGGCACAGAGGTCAGCACATTCAAGATCCTCAAGCTCCATTTTTGACTAGATTTAAAAATGGGGATTATTATTATTATTATTATTTGAGTTGGAGTCTCACTCTGTCGCCAAGAGTGGAGTGCAGTGGCTGCTCCCGGCCACCGTAGCCTCGACCTGCTGGGCTCTGGCGATCCTTCCGCCTCAGCCTTCCAAGTAGTCGGAATTACAGGCATGTGCTACCACACCTGGCTGATTTTTTGATTTTATTGTAGAGATGAGGTCTCGCTGCCCAGGCGGGTCTCGAACCCATGGGCTCAGGCAATCCACTAACCTCAGCCTCCCAAAGGCACGGGATTACAGGCTGAGCCACCGAGCCTGGCTAAAAAATGGGGATTATTATGCAAACACTGCATACTGAGAATGTCTCTCTATGGTGAGAATTCAAGAGACAAACTACCCTAAATTTTTTAAGAAGTTATTTTATAAAATTTTGATTTATTTAAAAATGTTTATTTTTATTTATAAAAATAAAAGGTATTTATTTATAATGTTAGGTATGACTAACAGACATCCATTTCCCCTACTAGGTACTGAGATCAATAAGCACAACTACACTGGCTTACTTACTTTTTCCTCAAACATGGTCTATATTTGACCCTTGTTTCTTGGAATAGTGACTCATATAAAGTAGATGAGGAAATGGAAACCCAGAGAAGTGAAGTACCCAGAAGTGCACTAATAATTTAACTCAAATTCCTGGCCTCAAGTGATCCTCCTGCCTTAGCCTCCCAAAGTGCTGGGATTATAGACCTGAGCCACTACACCTGGCCAGAATCACACAACTGATTTGTTATTAGTCAAGAAGAGAAAACTGAAAGAGGAATAATAGGTAATTAGGGACAGAGGGTGATGGTGGGGCAGCAATGAAAGACCAGAGTTTTGTGTGTGCCCATTTCTCTCTCTCAAGCTACACCTCACCCTAGAGGAATCACTGGGGTCCCCATCAACCACAGCCACAGAAGTCCACAGAGGCCTAGACCTGAAGGCAGATGTAAGAGGGTGGCCTTTGAGAGTTCCGTATTCCTAACTCATAGGTTTCTGGATACCTGGACACTTTCTTCTTACACTGTTTCTCCATCTACCTCATGGACTGTGTTTGGGATATTATCTATACTCACCTTGTGACACAGTCATGTTTGCCCCTCAGATGTTTCTTTTCCCTTGGAGGGCAAAAGCTGCCATCAGAGTCTTGGGCTGAGGGTCAATTGGTGACTGTGTGGAATGCTGGAGTTGGTTGTTTTTCTTTTGTGGCCACCCCATGCTTCACAATCATATTCCTCTCTAAGAAATTACTTAGATTAAAGAAGGAAACACATAAAGAAAGAATATTTATGGACTTGATTAATTAAAGTACAAAAGCACTGACTTTCTCATTTTTTTACTGGTATTTTATCCCTAAACTTTCAACTCATTTCAAACTTTGGCTTAACTAAACATTGTGATTGAGAGCCCCTAGGATTTGGAGAATACAACACATATTTTCCAATTTAAATTTGTAGTTCTAACCGGATCGATGGACTTCTAGCATCCGTTTTCAGTAATACTAATGTAAATTGTACACACCATGGAATTGCCTCTTTTAAAATAATCTCTGATACACTGTAACTTCTAAAAATATTTGCTGAATTTAACCTACTCTCTTAAATACATCATAGGTTTGCATCAGTTGTGGAACCTTTGCTTGTCAATCAAGGGTCAACCAGCCCACCTATACTTGCCATTATTGACTAATGTGCAGGATGTAGCTTATCAAATCAGCAGCCTCCTTCTCTGCAGAGAAGCCAGGAAAAATGTCTCCCAGAATCCTCTTGCCTGTATAATTCCAGTTTGCATTCCCAATGGGAATGCAAACTGGAATTATGCATGAGATATGGGGCCCAGAAGAGCTGAAGGGACAGGGCTGGACTCACCAGGGGTGGCTGCAGGCATATGTGAGGCTCTTGTTGGCTTCTGTGCCAGGCTAGAGACCCACTTGCTTTGCCTGTGCAGACTGAAATGAGAGGCAGAAGTTTTCTCAGAAGTTCTGGAGAATTACAGCAACCTCCCAGCAGGATTCTGAGAACCTCCCACCAGCGCTTCAGGCTGAGGACTTCAGCATACACTTCTCTGATTCCCCAGCTGCAGCATCCAAGAGCTCCAGTGGTGACTGTTGTCAGTATCTTGTTGCTGTTGTAACAAGTTACCACAACCAGGTGGCTTAAAACAACACAAATTTACTATCTTACTTTTCTATAATTCAGAAGTCTGAAATGTATCTCTCTGGGATAAAATTAAGGTGTCATCAGGGCTACATTCCTTTTGAGGTTCTAAGAAGCAAATCTGTGTCTTTCACTTTCCCAGCTTCTCAAGGTCTCCCTCATTCTTTGGCTTGTGGTCTCTTCTTCCATCTTCCAAGCCAGCAGCCACCTCACTTTGACCTCTGATTCTGTTGTCACATCTACTTCTCTAACTCTGACTCCACTATCTACCTCTTCACTTATAAGGACAATTATGGTTATTGGACCTACCTGGATGATCCAGGATAATCTTCCCTTCTCAACTTAATCACATCTGAAAGTTCCCTTTTGCCATAATAGGTGACATCGTCACAGGTTCCAGAAATTAGGATACAGACATTATTGTCTGTCACATGACTACACCAATATTTGCTGCCCCCATATTTTTAAACATTAGTGTAGTCTCTTACTCATATTACATACTTTATTTCTAAAGTACCAGAGTCAGTCTGTTTTCCTTGAAAAACTAACACTGATATAGCTCCCTACACCAAAAGAGCTAAAGAAGTATCTGCCTAATGTCAAAATCTCCAAATGATACAGATCCTTCTAAAGGTAGAGGCTATAAATTAGGTAATGATCTTGCTGAGATGGTGGAGGGGGAAGAAGAGAAAATGAGTAGAAAACTCATGTGATTCCAACCCCTGCCCATGGTATCTGGCCCTCTTGTGATCTAGGCTGCAGTTTCCCTCTCACATGAACCCAGTCATTTCTAACTCCCCAAGAGCTTTTTACAATGTTCACATTCACTTCTTGGATTTGTCATCTTGTTTCTACCTTGTCTTATGGCTCCATGTTTACATTTTCCTTCTCTTCCAATTTTTCAGCTTGAGCCAATTCTCCAGGAAGAAATTCCAGACAACTGTTTTTTTATTTGGCTGCAACACTTTCAAAGTTCTTAATTTTCTTTTCTTTCTTTCTTTCTTTTTTTTTTTTTTTTTGAGTTAAGGGTGTCACTCTGTCACCCAAGCTGGAGTGGCATGGCACGATCATGGCTCATCTCATCCTCTACTTTCTGGGCTCAAGCGATCCTCCTATATCAGCCTCCTGA